AGGCTCTGCCGGAGAGTCTGGTATCCTAGAAATAAACATTGAAATGAAATAAATCACGATTGAACAAATGATTTCTTAAAAAAAAATTAATTATTTTAACGTACATGCTACGATTAAAATAGAGAGCTTGAAGGATTCCTTTCTCACGAGCATATTGTATATCTTTCTCGCGACTGTCTTTGCCAGACTCAACAAGTGGAGGAGGCATGTCAATTAGAATTAAAGCCTTCCACAACGTTTTCTCTTCCATTACGTCTTCACTGCCTACGAATAAAAAAAAAAATTTGAAATCAAATTTTATTAATTTTTTTATTATTTAAATAATGCCGACACTTACTTAATTTCCTTGCCATCTGGAATGCTTCTCTTTCATTTTGTTTTTCCATTTGTTTCATGTCTGTAAATGTTTTTGTTACATTTACGCGTTCGGTTTCATCCAGCTCAAAGTAACGTATCGATTCCAAATCAGTTTTCCATTTTAAACTCTTCTTTGGTCCCTTTCGTTTCTGAAGAAGTAAGACACTCTTCAAGACCCCAAACTGTCGATTTTCAAGTGTTGCGTGCTCTTCTTTCTTAAGAGCTTCGCTTACCGCGGCGGCAGGATCTTCGGGAGAATCAGAGCTTTTCATATCATCAAAATCATTCTCTGGAGTTGGTGCTGAAAATATTAACGTTGAGTAATAGATGAATAATATTGCTTGAAACTTACATATATTATTAAGAAAATATTATCTTCATTTAACAATAATTAGTTTGAATCGGTAAACTTACTTCTACTCCTTTCGTCATCGTCATCATCGTCATCGTCTTTAGCTTCTCTCTTAACTTTTTTTACGTCATCGGTATCGATATCATTTTCCTTTTTATTATTAGCTTCCGTTTTTGATTTACCCTTATCATCTTTTTCTTCGTCAGTTTCCAAAGTGTCCTGGTAAAACTGTAAACAAATCATATTCATAAATGATAATAAAATTGCATTATATTCAGATGCTTTTAATAAAAAACAATTGCAATCTACCTTAAACGCAGGTTTTAAAGATAAGAGAGATTTATCATCCGTATCCTTGTTACTTCCAGAGTGTGAAGGCGGTGATGTGGGAGATGAAGGTGGCGAAGAAGTATCTCGATTATGTTCATTATTACCAATATCTAATTTTTTAGAATCAGATAGTCCATCTTTCGTAATAGAAGTACGCCGCTTTCTCTTCCTTGGCTCTTTACTTTTTGTCGAAGCCGTAAGTGCGTCCATGAACATATCACTCTCTTGTAATAACATCACTGTAATTAAAATAATAATATTTATTATTACATAATTCTATTCATAGTGATAAAAACAATAATTTCAAAGGCGATGACGATGAAAAAGCGATTGGTGCAAATTTCCTGAAATAGATGCATTTAATAATATATATTTGGCAATTGACTTTGATAATTTATTACCACATAATAAAATGTTGATACTTTTAGTAGCTACCTGATATAAATACATTAATTGGAAAATTGCAATACTCAAAGATTTTTTTTATAGATAAAAAGATAATAATAAAGATTTTTTCTATAAATCGATAATTCTGCATATCGCCTTCTGTGTTTTTGAGGCATAATGTACTATGTATTACTATGTAATGACAATACATTTGTTACGTTATCAAAAATAACACATAAACTTTTGATCAAGTTCACATTTTAGTATATATTTTTAGTTCGTTAAATTAAAATAATTAACAATAACGCATAAAACGCTCGAAAATATATTTCAAATTCTCAATTTAGCAGTTTATGTTGCAATGTTATTACTCTACAAAAAACATTAAAAACCAAATTAAATTAATTTATAAAATACTATGCATGCATAGTACTATGTATGCAAATATATGTACATACATATGTATTCGAATTTTCCAATTCATAATAATGAATTCATCAGTTATAAAACTAAATGAAAATGTTTAATTTTGATTAAAATATCAAAATATCAAATATTAAAAACAATTATTTTAATGATAATATAAATCTTATCAAACTTTCGATAACAATAATAAATTAAAGATAAATAAATATATATTCTAAAAATAACTCTAGCTTCGAATGAAAAATTTGTTCTCATTATTAAAATATTAAATTAATTATATTTATAAAAGAACATCGTACAATAGTTACTTCGTATAATGAATATATCAGCACTTTACTTTTTAACTACATTCTTTTAATATATATAGTTTTAAAGTATAAATTGAAAATAAAAATTGCATTGTTTTTCAAAATTCAATAAGCACCACTGACTCTCATGTACTAACTTTATTTATAATAAAACATATACATTTTAGTTTAATTTTATAAAAAATAACTAAATAATATATACACAGATAATTTTAATAACATATAACGTTATAAAAATCACAAATTTGTTACAAATGATCATTAGGTTTATATTATAAAAAAATTCGTTGATTGACGTATATACTGCTTTTTTTAGTCTAAATAAAACGCAGTTTAAAAATGCTTTCTGAATCTGTTAAAGAAATAATCTATTAACAGCCATCGAATCACACAGCGCTTAAAATATTGGTATTTATTTAGATTTAAGAAAGCTTATACAACCAAACATGGTTCGTCAATTATAATTATTAAATATGATCAACAGAACAATAACATTAATTTTATATGATTAAAATTATTTTATATAAACAAAAGTAACAGCATAAAACTTTGTCTTAGTTTGTAGCGCCGTTTTACTTAATAAATTCAAGCTTCATTTTTAAATATATTTCAATAATCAGATTTAACTTTGTACTTTTATGTATTTATATACAAAAAATCCACTTATTATTATACACTATCAATTATCGAAATTTCAAATATTAAATGTTAAT